TCAGCAATACCAAAATTCTGAAAGAAACTGGTCTACCTTCTCTCCCTGAGGCTGCAACCAAATTCGCAGCAAATCTTATCGACACTATCCGACTTCGCCCCTAAACCAAACGACCTTTTCAGGAGGCCCTGCCACCTTCTTCACTGAGCTGCACACTTATGTTCATTATAGTTCCGAGCTGTCCTCTTTTGCTCTTTTTAGGTTCGAGCGGTTCTTTCATGCTCATTACTAGTTTCGCTTTTCAGCGCGAGTCCCCACCCTACTTCTGCTATGGGGCACCTACTCACACCCACATCAATCCTCCCCAAGCACTCCCACCCCACTTTTACATCTTCCTCTCCCGAATCTAGCCAAAATATTTCCCTTGGGAGCAACAACTTTCGGGTTAAAATTTCATCTCGAAGAGGGGTTTTAGTCGGTAGGCGCTACAGCGAATCCGACACTACCCGTCCTTTGAAGATTTCCCCTCCTCGAGGCTAAGCTAAACAAACAAAAAAATAGACGTCTGCGCTCGACCTTCGTTATACGAATATCACGTACTTGAAATCGATTTCTACCACCGAGATAAGCAGAGCTTTTTCCACAGCGACCCAGGCGTTCCATATAACTGTCCGTTACTGAACAAATTTATTATTCAAGGTCAACAATATATTTTGCCCAGCCGTAACAGATAAGTTCTTATTTAAATATATTTTCCTTATTTTTATACCTTTCTGATTTTGCAAAGTCACAGAAAGAGCCCATTTTTACCTAGCTTGCAATTTTCAGCATGGCCAACACCAAGATCTACGCACTCTTGGAGGGATTTTCCTTTGCGGACGCCGTTGCCCTGGCGAGTGACCTTTAGACCAAATTTATTCGTTTACATTCATCTGTCGAATCGCCTATGACCGAAGACATTTAGTCTTCATCAGGTGCCCCCCTTACCGACGCAATTTCCTCCCAATTTGACTTAATACCAGGTCATTTCCGACAACTTCTCACCGCCGCTGGCGCTGTTTTCTTCAGGACGAGAACGATGTTTACCGTTCGACTGCCAGCCGCCAAAACCGATCCTACGCTTTTTTTTTGTTTTGTTTAGATAATACCCGAAGACGGTAAACCCCTCCTCGAGCGGGGAGATACACTCTGTGGGTTGCCCATCCCTGGGAAGAATGTGGAAGGCTGGGGATTAGGGATAAGGTTGAGATGGGAAATGGGTTAAGAGTGTAAGTAGAAGGGAGTGTTGGGGAGGAAACCGAAGTAGGTGGCTCACATCTGAAATGTTGGATGGACACTCGCGCTAAAAAGCGAAGTTAGGAGCTAAAAGTGAGCGGCTCATTGTAGAAGGTGACAGGGCCTTCGGAAACGGTCGTTTGGTTTCGGTGAGAAGTTGGAGAGTGCCGAGATTGTGGAGTTTGCGTGGCCTGACACTGAGGCACGGAGATTTGCCGCGAATGTAATTGAATCCTCAGGGAGAGAAGGTAAACTGCTTTCGATCAGAATAGTTTAGTGCGGAGCGAAGAATCTGCATATATGTGCCTTGCAGAGGTTTCAAGAGTTGCAGAAGGGGGCAGGCCCAGACGAAAATGTCATAGGAGCAAATGCTCCTAATAATTCCGTTAAACGCACGAATTTTGGTCTGTTGGCAGATGGCCCGATCCGACGGGATTTGAACCTTGACGAAACTCTGGTACAAACTAGAGTGGGTGGATCGGCTTGCGAGTTTCGATGATTTAGGGAGCCCGACCATAGGTTCAACCATAATGGAGGGGTCCTTAAAGAGAAACCAGACTAAGACAAGTCCCTGAAAGAGGGCAGCAGCTCTTTCAGTACTCAGGGTGGTAGAGATCGGGAGGATCAGTATGGCACTCTGATGCACAATGCTGCGATGTGGAAGGCAACGGGAAAGCACCACATTATGATCCCGAGTAAAACGTACTAAAAACTAAACTAGTCCCCCATTCGGATGTCCGGGCGGGGACTACCTCGGGGGATGTCATCAATAAATGCAATAGGGATAGGTGCAATGTTTCGCGAGTCGGAGCGTGGAATGTTAGATCACTGAGGCAGATAGGGAAATTAGAAAATTTAAACATAAAGATGGATAGATTAGAATTAGATATAGTAGGTTTTAGTGAAGTCCGTTGGCCTGAAGCTGGAGACTTCTGGACTGGGGACGGTATTAGTGCAGGTCTAGATGCCTACATCATCTTAGAGTGATGAAGACGTAGAAGTAGTTTATGCAGATATAGAAGACGTGTTAAGTTTAGTGAAAGGACAGGGCAACCTAATAGTTTTAGGAGATTTCAACGCAGTAATAGGTGAAGGTAAAGTGGGTGCAATGGCAGGTTCTTTTGGATTAGGCAATAGAAATGATAGAGGAGATAGGCTGATAGAATTTTGCGATAAACATAACTTAACTGTCGCGAATACTTTATCCAACCATCACGTTAGGAGGCGCTATACGTGGAAGATGCCAGTTGATTTAGGGCGATATCAGTTAGATTACATACTTGTTAGGCACAGATTTAAAAATCAAGTGAAGGACTGTAGGAGTAATCCAGGAGCAGATATAGATAGCGATCATAATTTAGTAGTTATGAAGACCAATCTTAAATTCAAAATTCTGAAAAAGAGGGAATGTAGGAGACGTCTCGACTTAGAAAAGCTAAAATGCAACGAAGCGCGTGATAGGCTAGGTAAAATGACAGACGAAATACTAATGGCGGCTGGAGAAACGAATGACGGGGACATAGAGACAGAATGGAACTGTATTAAAACGTGTCTAAAGTCAGCAGCTAGAGAGGTACTGGGTCTTAAACAAAACGAAAGTAGGAAACCCTGGATAACAAATGAGATTGTAGGATTAATAGACGAAAGGCGGAAATACAAAAACAGGACAGACGAAGAAGAAAATGAGGAAAAGGCAGATAGGTAGAAAGAATATTTAGAGAACCTTTACGAAGGCCCTGAGTTAGGAGATATATTAAAGAAAGAAGATAGTGTGAAAATAGATGAGCTTGGTTATCCCATAATGAGAGAAGAGTTCGATGTAGCATTAAAAAATTTAAGGAATAATAAGACGCCAGGTGTGGATGGGATACAGGGGGAAATTCTAAAACATGCAGGACAAGAGGTTAGAGATCGTATGTTTAAGCTAGTTAGTCACATTTACGAAACGGGGAAAGTCCCAGAGGATTATAAACGGAACGTAGTAGTAACATTACCTAAGAAGAGGGGCGCGGATAGGTGCGAGAAGCTTCGAACAATTAGCTTAACTTCCCATGCGTCAAAAATCTTAACTAGAATTGTACAGAGGAGGATGGAAAAAAGGGCGGAAGAACTATTAGGGGAAGATCAATTTGGGTTTAGAAGAAATAGAGGAACGCGGGAGGCCATTCTAGCTTTACGGGTAGCAATAGAGAAAACGATAGAAAAAGGAAAGAGTGCGTACATAGGATTTGTAGATTTAGAGAAAGCTTTTGACAATGTTAAATGGGACAAGATGTTAAATATACTTAAAAATGTAGGGATGAATTACAAAGATAGAAGAGTGATACTTAGTTTGTATAAAGAGCAACAGGCAGTTATAGAGCTGGGGATGCAACGTAGAGAAGTAAATATTAGGAAGGGAGTCAGGCAGGGATGCACACTGTCACCGCTACTTTTTAATCTATACATCGAAGACGCCATCAACATCATTAAAGACAGTACAACTGTAGGGATAGATGTGCAAGGGCAAAAGATTAGTATGCTTAGATTTGCAGATGATATAGCAGTATTAGCATCTAGCAAGGAGGACCTAGAGATAGCTTTAAATAAAATGGAAGCGGTACTGACAGATCAGTACTGTATGAAAATAAATAAAAGTAAAACTAAAATACTGATATGCAAGGGAAGAAAAAGTAGGGAAAGAGCGAATATAAAGATAGGAGACGAAAAATTAGAAGAAGTGGCTGATTTTAGATACCTAGGAAGTCAGATAAGTGAGGATGGAAGGAGTAGTAGGGATATAAAGCAGAGGATAGCGCAGGGTCGTGTCGCCTTTAATAAAAAGAAGTCACTTCTATGCTCGCGAACGGTTAAATTAGAAATTCGAAAAAGGTTGTTAAAGGTGTATGTTTGGAGCACGGCGTTGTACGGGTGCGAAACATGGACAGTGGGAGCGGCGGAAAAGAAAAGGTTAGAAGCGTTCGAAATGTGGTGTTATAGGCGGATGATGAGGATATCGTGGGTAGAAAAGGTTAGAAATGAAGAGGTATTGGAAAGAATAGGTGAACAGAGGACTATATGGAAGACAAATTCTCAGGCATGAAGGTCTAGTCAGAGACATATTAGAGGCAGAAACAGGAGTTAGGAGGGGTAGAGGTAGACCTAGATTAGATTACTGTTCGCAAATAGTTAAGGAGACGGGCTGTTCTAGTTTTAGGAAAATGCGAAGTTTAGCTCAGGATAGGAAAAAGTGGAGGTACGTGTCCAACCAGTCTTAGGACTGATGACCTTATGATGATGATGGCAGATGACGTTGTTATGGAACAAAGGTTTAAGTGGGATGAATGCACCTACTGCCTTGTTGCGGGTGGCTGTAATATGGTGTTGCCAGTTTAGACATCTGTCGAAGACGACGCCTAGGTAGAGCGGTTTTTGGTCTCGTTAATGGAAAGTTTCCATTTCCGATACCAGTTTAGGAGTCGGGACAGAAACGTATTGATTCTTGCCCTAGACTAGAAATAGATGTAAAACTCTCGAAATTTTGACGATACTAGTGACATCTAACCCCACATTAGTAGGCAATACTTGGAATATATATATATAAATGGTACTGGCAAAGAAAACTTCGAATATTCACTGTCATCTATACATAAAGCTATGAAGCGTAACTTAAGGCGCGCATTTCAAAATTACACCAAATTTTAATTTAAAAAACAAAAATAGTATTAACAAATTTAATTACAAAGTATAAATGTAGTAATAAATATAATTAGCACAATATACGAGTAAATAGCAAACATCAATTAATTAAAATATAGATACTAATACAGGTATATTTGTATGAACAAAGAAATTGTTCTTTACCTAATTTAGTACTGCTTCCTGCTTCTACAGGGGGTGCTAACGATTCAGAAACTGCAGAAATACTAGCTTCTATATTGTCCATTGTGAGGGTACTTTCTATAACAAATAATTATATATGTTTTGGATATTTGAAACTGTTATCTGCATAACTACCTGCAGTTGAAACAATTCTTCTTTTCCCGTCATATGTTTTCACTGGATGCAGTACTTTTTCATCTTTTAATGGGGCAATTCCGTCTGCTTCTATTCCTCTACCAGAAGAAGTTCTACAAAACATTTTTTTTTAGAACTTAAGTTTCACAACAACAAATTACAATACCTGCCACTTTCGTTGGAACCGCTGTTACTTCAGGAAAATGGAAAGCGGCATCTTGACCTTTAACTCCTGCAGGAACTGTATAATCTACGTAGAACATTTCAAATTAATTTGACCCCGTAATAGTGTAGACTGTACATCACGGTTTTTNAATTAGCACAATATACGAGTAAATGGCAAATATCAATTAATTAAAATAATAGATACTAAGACATGTATATTTGTATGAACAAAGAAATTGTTCTTTACCTAATATAGTACTGTTTCCTGCTTCTACAGGGGGTGATAACGTTTCAGAAACTTCAGAAATACTAGCTTCTGTATTGTCCATTGTGAGCGCACTTTCTATAACAATTAATTATATATGTTTTGGGTATTTGAAACTGTTGTTTGCATAACTATCTGCAGTTTAAACAATTCTTCTTTTCACCTTATATGTTTTCACTGGATACAGTACTTTTTCATCTTTTAATTAGGTAATTCCGTCTGCCTCCATTCCTCTACCTGAAGAAGTTGTACAAAAAATTTTTTTTAGAACTTAAGTTTCACAACAACAACAAATTACACTACCTGCCACTTTCGTTGGAACCGCTGTTACTTCAGGAAAATGGAAAGCGGCATTTTGACCTTTAACGAACAGGAACTGTATAATCTAGGTAGAACATTTCAAATTAATTTTTCCCCATAATGGTGTACACTGTACAGCACGGTTTTTCTGTGTTTGACAGAAAACATCCTTTCCTTTATAACCAGCACTATTTCAGAAAATAATTACTTATTGTAAAGCATGATTGAAGTACTTAATATATTACTTATGTTCAGGATACGTAAAAGTACTTCTCACAAAAATTTTAAAATATTACAAGTTGTGAAACTACTCACTATTGCTAAGTATATGCTATAACTAGTGGGGAATTCCCCGGTAATCGCAACCGCCATCGTGTCATCTGTTGTCGTTTCACTAAAATATATGTCGGTAATGCCGATTTTGGTAATTTAAAAAATTTAAAAACTTTCATGGGGTAAACTTAGGTGTCACTGACGCTCTACATTTCATACCCTGATTCTTGCTGTGCATTGGAGAATGGTACTTGAAGAGTTTATAATGGTAATGTCGTCAGCGTACAGAGCAGTCAGAATTGAGTATATTTAGTTTTTAAACAAAATTACCTTTTCAAAAGGACATTAAAAATAAAACATTTTGCCATTTTCGTCGTATTAAAAAAATTTGTTCCACTATTAAACAAGAAAAACTCAACGAGTATATAAAAAAGTTAGAAGTAATATTGAGGGAATTCCAAAATAGATTTCAAAACTTGAAATATTTTAAATCGTCTCTTGATTTTTTTCAGAATCCATTTGAAACATAATTCAAGGTGTGCTTTCCATTTCCAACATAATTATAACCCAAAAAGCATATGGAGAATTAGAATTAAGAGAGGTGCAAGAAGATCACACTCTGCAATTAAAATAAAAGTCGAAGCCAATTACCGAATTTTGGAAGTTCGCACCAGAATCGAAGTATCCTGAATTAAAAAAGGCTGCTTGTACCCTAACCAGCTAACTGTACATTTAGTATTGGTCAATTTGTGCTAATAAAAAGAAAGACTAATACAGATAAACTGAAATAAAATTCAGGACCATTTCAAATAACAAAAATAAATTTCCAACATAAAACAGCATGTATCCGACAAAATAATAAAGTTCCATTTTGACCAAATCAAACCGTTACTCTCTAAAAATAATTTTATAATAGAAAAGGTAAAAATGATAGAATAAGGCAGTTCGTGAAGTTTCAGGCGACATGGCATGCTAGCGGACGGATATTATTTAAAAAAATTTGTCCGCTGTGGAATATTTCTTTAAAAAAACGGAGGTGTTGCGTATTATGTGCTATATTGTGTAGATCTATTCGAGTAATCGGGAACAATAAATACAACTGATAACTATAATTTATTGTGGCCGCGCATACCTGTTCGCCATAACATGTTCAAACATTTTTGTATATATTTCTACTTTTACTATTCTTGCTATGTAAATATCTTTCCAATTTTTATGTTCAACACTGTGTAAATAACTTTATTACTTGGACTTTTCTATAATCCCTTTTAACATTCTAATTTCACTTACTAACTGCATGATGTCAATTACTATTGTACCTTCTTAACTGCTTTTTAATGATAGGTTTCTTCAGCGATTTAGGGTTAACATTCTAACTGTCTATTTCTTAGTATTTTATATATTCTAATTGGTTCCTACGTTTACCTAAATATTTCTGGCTCTGCCCTAATAGTTTTCCTAACATTTTCATTTCCAAAATATTAACATTTCCAATTTCGGTTTTCGACAGTTCAATTCAATTAATCTTCTGCTAAATCTTCAACTAGTTTTATTTCTCAATTTTTCACTTCTAATTTCATTTCGTGGGTAGAAAAGGTTAGAAATGAAGAGGTATTGGAAAGAATAGGTGAACAGAGGACTATATGGAAGACAAATTCTCAGGCATGAAGGTCTAGTCAGAGACATATTAGAGGCAGAAACAGGAGTTAGGAGGGGTAGAGGTAGACCTAGATTAGATTACTGTTCGCAAATAGTNCTATCCCTAAAGTGGTGACCCCCGACGGAAAGTGACATTATATGTCATATGTGTTTTTAGTGACATTAAAAACTCAAATGTTAAGCAATATATTAAAGTTGAACTAAAACATCTGAATGATTTGCAACAACATAGAAAAGATGCAAAAGATCTAGAAAATAGCATAAAAATTGATCCACTTGTTCACCTTACGCATAATTCTATTAATGTTATATTTTTTATTGTTACTGTTTCAATGTGTATATTATATAAGAAGCGTTGTAGTCAGTAGAAAGATGTTCGTAGGACGAAAGTCCGCTAATATGCAGCACGGTTTTTTGTAATTTTGTAATTGTGGTTAGTTTTCCAAATTGATTACAAAGGTTTTAGTAAGTCCTGTTTTTAATCTATTCTTTTGGTAGGGTTTTTTATATTCCACTCCAAACATTTAGAACAACTAAAACCAATTGTGGGTCGCTTATATTGATAGAAATCGTCGTCTTCAAAATGAGCATTGTTTGCTGTGCTTTGTTGCTGTGCATTATCCAAAGAAGAATCAGAAGAGTTAAAATTTGTTGATTCTTCTACTGTACTAGTGCTAGGCTCTGCAGTTTCAATATTGCTTTTTCATACGATTTCTTGATTGTATTTAAAAAAATTCTTTTGTACAGGCGATTCTTTAAGATTATTTTCATTTGAAGTGTCTCCTTGTTCTTCTTATACCAATTCACCTTCAAAATTAGAGTAAGTAACGTCTATAGATCTTTTTGAACTTTTATCTTTCTCAACCTATTTTTCATAACAATTTTCAATAACTTTACTTCATGAAGATTCTTTAACATTTGAGTAAACAACGTCTGAAAAGAATGCCTTTGAACCTTTACATTTCTCCGACCATTTTTTAACATAATTTTGATCAACACTACTGTGAACGTTAATTAATTTGTTGTTTTAAAACAGCACTAAAATTCTACCCTTCCATGCAAATAAAGGAAGAGTGTTGAATGCCCCAAGGTGTGCAGCTTAAAAACGATACGGCGACCGATATGCCCGTTTTTCTGGATATAACGGTGTTTGGATCTGTGAATCGGCGATTTGGTGACCGATTCAATTTTTCAAACTATTTTTCTCAGAACAGCTTGTTGAGGATAAAAAAAATTTTTTGTAAAAAAGGAAAAATTATGTTCTTAGCCTGGAAATACGATCCGGCGGGACTTGAACCTTGACAAAACTCTTGTACAAACTAGAGTGGGTGGATCGGCTTGCGAGTTTCGATGATTTAGGGAGCCGGACCATAGGTTCAACCATAATGGAGGAGTTCTTAAAGAGAAACCAGACTAAGACAAGTCCCTGAAAGAGGGCAGCAACTCATTCAGTACTCAGGGTGGCAGAGATCGGGAGGATCAGTACTCTGATGCACAATACTGCGATGTCGAAGGCAACGGGAAACCACCACATTATACCAAGTAACCAGCACAATTTAAATGATGACGTCCTCTGGGGTAAAGCACTCCGGATGTAAACTAGTCCCCCATTCGGATGTCCGGGCGGGGACTACCTCGGGGGATGCCATCAATAAGTGCAATAGGGATAGGTGCAATATTTCACGAGTCGGAGCGTGGAATGTTAGAACAATGAGGCAAGTAGGAAAATTAGACAATTTAAAAATAGAAATGGACAGATTAGAATTAGATATGGTACGTATTAGTGAAGTCCGTTGGCCTGAAGCTGAAGACTTCTGGAGTGCGGACTTTAGAGTAATACATATAGGATCGGTAGAAGATAATTCGGGGGTAGGAATTGTAATGCGTAGGAAAATAGGGCAGAGTGTAGAAAGTTATTTACCAAAAAGCGATAGGATAGTTATGGTTAAATTAAAATCAAAGCCGGTAAGAACGGTATTAGTGCAGGTCTACATGCCTACATCATCCTACAGTGATGAAGACGTAGAAGTGGTTTATGCAGATATAGAAAACGTGTTAACTTTAGTGAAAGGACAGGACAACCTAATAGTTTAGGAGATTTCAACGCAGTAATAGGTGAAGATAAAGTGGGTGCAATAGCAGGTTCTTTTGGATTAGGCAATAGAAATGATAGGGGAGACAGGCTGATGCGATAAACATAACTTAACCGTCGCGAATACTTTATTCAACCATCACGTTAGGAGGCGCTATACGTGGAAGATGCCAGGTGATTTAGGGAGATATCAATTAGATTACATACTTGTTAGGCAAAGATTTAAAAATCAAGTGAAGGACTGTATTAGTTATTCAGGAGCAGACATAGATAGCGACCATAACATAGTAGTTATGAAAACCAACCTTAAATTCAAAATTCTGAAAAAGAGGGATGGTAGGAGACGTCTCGACTTAGAAAAGCTAAAATGTAACGAAGCGCGTGAAAGGCTAGGTAAAAGGACAGACGAAATACTAAAGGCGGCTGGAGTAACGAATGACGGGGACATAGAGACAGAATTAAAACGTGCCTAAAGTCAGCAGCTACAGATATACTAGGTCATAAACAAAACGAAAGTAGGAAACCCCGGATAACAAATAAAATTGTAGGATTAATAGACGAAAAGCGGAAATACAAAAACAGGACAGACGAAGAAGGGCAAAAAAGATATAAAGCTATAAAGTGGGAAATAATTAGAAAGTGTAGGGCAGCTAAGGAACAGTGGATTGATAGGTTGTGTAAAGAAGTAGAAGAAAAGTTTGAGTAGGTAAAACCGATGAGGCGTATAATATAATTAAAAGGAATTTTAGAGATGTAGGATACAGTAGTAATAATATAAGAAAGGAGGCTGGGGTCATTTTGATAGAAAATGAGGAAAAGGCAGATAGGTGGAAAGAATATTTAGGGAACCTTTACGTAGGCTATATTAAAGANGGGAAATAATTAGGAAGTGTAGGGCAGCTAAGGAACAGTGGATTGATAGGTTGTGTAAAGAAGTAGAAGAAAAGTTTGAAGTAGGTAAAACCGATGAGGCGTATAATATAATTAAAAGGAATTTTAGAGATGTAGGATACAGTAGTAAT